TTGTGTGTGTGCACCGGTTTAGCCACAGAATAGATTTCTGAGTCAAGGGATAAGTGCCTTTGTGACTTTTACGGGTACTGCCGTGCTGTTCTCCAAGCAGAGGGGATGTGCTTTGCAGTGTGTCCACCCGACAGTGGGGTGCACCACTGTTACTGTGACGATGGTGACAAGTCTACTGCCTAGGCTTGAGAACTAGGTATCACCGTTTCTGTGATGATAAAACTTTGGTTCAGAGAAGTGATGTGATTTGCCAAAGGACACACAAATGTTTTTTTTTCCCAGTACATACACATAACATAAAATTCAAAAGGAATAATATATCAGATAGCGCCAGGTTTGGCTGCACATGATAGGAAAATCCAAAATAATTTTGGTTTAATGATACAGATTCTAGTCTCTTATGTAAAATACATACTCAAGAGTTAGGCAGTCCAGAGCTGGTTTGGTGACTCCTGAAGTCCTGAAGTAGGGCCTATGTCATGACCTCCATTGCCCAGATGAAGAAACTGAGGCCCAGATGGTAAACTGACTTTGCCTAAGAGTGGAGTTGACCTTCCCCTCCAGTACAAGGTAGGCAGTGTTTCACAACTTCAAAGAGAAAGTCTCAGTTTGGCGCTACTGTGTCTTTAACTTCCCCTCGGACCCAGAGCTTTTGGCAGGTGAAAGTAGCTAGCTAGAACCTAAGAACAATGTTTTGGTTCCATGACACTTATGTCTATAGTTTCCTCCTGTCGATGGTACTGATATAAAGCTGTCTTTGATAGTGACATAAAGCTTACTTTTTAAGTAAATGCCTCTCAGTTAAAAAGTGAGTCTATTCAAAGAAAAAGATTAAGACCTGTCTGGGTTTGAGTACAGATCCCACCACTTACTAGCTGTTTGAGTGGATACAATACTTAGTTCCTCTGAGCCTCAGTTTCCACGTCTGTAAAGTGGGGATGATCATTTTTCCCACCTCATAGATTTATGGTTAAATGAGATCACACATGTTAGGAGCTTAGCACCCTGGCATATAGTTAAGAACTCAATACTATGTGTTAATATTATCATATTATTAATACAATGTTATTAAATTTCATACTATTTATTAACATTATATTATTAATAATACTAACGTTATTTATATTAAAAATTTCACAACACCTCCTGGCTGCTTGGGAAGTCAGTGGACTGTAGAGTGACTGGACAGCAATGCCCTGTCCGAGGACCCTTTCCCCTAGACCAGTGGTTCTCAACCAGGGATGACTTTGACCCCAAGGGGACATTTGACAGTGTCTTGAGACCTTTTAAAATTACTGTGTCTGTAGATGGTGGGTAGAGGCCAGGGGTGAGGCTAAATATCCCACAATGCACAGGACAGTCCCCCCAACCATGAAGAGTTATCCAGGTCAGTGTTAAAAACTCTGAGAGGGAGAAACCCTACCCTAGCCTGCCCCTTGCACCCATGTCGATGCCTGGCAGCAGCTGGTTCTTCAGCTAGCTCATTATTTCCAAAAGAGACTTGAATTCCAAAGACCTGAGCCTTGGTTTCCTCATCCAGCAAATGGGGATGCTGAAGGGTGCCTTACCTCTAGTTATTTCCCCTCCTGATGGTTGAGCCTCTTGGTCACTTCCCTGGCCTAGGTTGTCCCTCAAGGTGTCTTTGGTTTTTCTCCATTTGCTTGACATCTGGTTGTTTCCTATTCCCAGACCAGCCTCTGGGGCCCCACAGCCACCACCTAAAACACTGCAGAGCAAAGGAGGCAGAGTGAGTGAGAGATGGAGAGAGAGTCGCCACCTCCAACCTTCTCTGAGTGTCTCTGTTATCCTGGATCTCCTTCAAGCACTCCCTGATATGCATAAATATTCTGTTTGTGTGTTGATTTTATTTTATTCCTCTCCACACACCTCTGCTCCTGAGGACAAGAAATCATGCCTGCCAGTGTCCCCAGTACCCTGCACATTGCCTGACAGATAGTGGACACTCAGAATTTATTTGCTGAATATATGAAGGGAAAGGGGAAAGAGGACAGGGCAAAGGGATAGGTATAGAGAAGAGAAGCAAGAGAAGGAGGAGAGAAGAGAGGTGCAGAATGAATGTCAAATGCTGAGAGATCTAAGGAGAAAAGGGAAGAGGGAGGGTTGAGCACGGTATAGGCTAGCTGGAGAGAGAGGAGGAGGGGTGTGAAGAGATGGAGGCAAAAAAAGATGAAAAGGGTGGAGAAAAGAAAGAAATGGAGACACATGACTAGAGAGACACATAAGTGATGAGGCAGAGAGACTGAGAGAACGTGCAGGCGCAAAGCCCTGGGAAGAAAACCTCACTGAGCGAGGGCTTGCGGAGGAAGGAGGACCACCCGCAAGATACTGGCGCGGTTTCCATGGAGACGGGGATGCTCCAGGCGGGAGAGGAAACACTATACCCTGGAGGGGAGGCGGAGGAGCTGGATGAGTTTCCCCATTCCTAGGCTCTTTCCTTCACCCCTGCCTCTAGCTGGAGATCCAGGGCCAGAGGATGGGGAGGTGGAGTGCACCTCCCCCGCTCCCCCAGCCTTGAGGATGAGAAGGGCTGGGCTGAGTCGACTCCTTGTCTCCTACTCTCCTGTCCCTTAGGTTTGACCCTCCTCTCCTCTCTAGGGTCTGGAGGACCTTGCAAAGTGTCAGGGGTACATGGAAAGATTCATGGGTCAAGCCTACTTTGTAGGCGCCTCCTATCTTCCTATCCCATAAATGCTGGAGCGCCCCTGGGCTCAATCCTGGGCCTTCTCTTCAGTTTGTATAACGTCCAGTCCCACGGGTTTACATGCCTGCAGCTGCCACATTTACCTTTCTAGCCCTGATTTCTCCCTGGGTTTCTTATCCATTTGGGTGTCTAACAGACACCTTCAAACTTGCTCAGTTCTTTAACTCACCAAGCTCATTCTTGCCTTAGGGCTTTTTGCATTTGCCATTTCCTATGCCACTAACTCCTTTCCCAGCCCTTAGTGAGAGGTGTTTTCCAGTGGAGCTGAGAATTGTCTTGGAGAACGCGAGCGCTGGACAGGGGAGGAGGGCCTGCTCCAAAGTGTGTGTGTGTGTGTGATCACTGGCACCCTATATCATTATGAGGAGCACAAGCTAGAGGGAGTGTGGGAGGACTGTCCTGTAAGAAGGTGGAGGTCGAGGCCAGAAGAGGCAGAACCAGGGAGGGAGGGCCCCCACCTTGCGATCAGGGAGGAGCCTAGGCCCTGGGGAGCACTTCCTCGTACAGTAGATGAAGGAAGGAGATGGCAAAGCCAAGAGTCCCCTTTCTACCCTAGGGACAGGATGTGCCCCGTGGACAGTGGGCAGAACTGACCACCACCCCCAACTTGTCATCTAAAGCCCAGGTCAAGCATCCCGTGGGCCTGGCGTGGGGTCAAGGGTCTCCCAGCTCCAATCTGAGCCTTGTGAAGTCTTCGGGTCTCCGACACAGTAACCCAGTCGCTGGTGGACTGTCAGACACTAAAAGGATAACATCAATCTAGCAGACAGTGCCAAGAGGGAAGGCCTAGCCTGGAGGTTGCCTACTGAGCCAGGGTGGCTCTAATTGGCTGTGTGGGGCATTACCCCTGTTTGAGCCAATCACAGTTGCCAGAGGAGTGCAATGTGCTGATTGGCTCAGACTTGGGTCCCACCCACAAGGAAGGGCCCTGATCACCGGGGCAAGGGGTTTGCAGAGGTGGGTCACTGAACTCAGAGGGAGTGGGTGCCAAGGAGGGAAGCTGCAGAGACCCATTTCGATGTGAAGTCTCTTCTTGTCCTGCTCTTTCCCTCTCCCACTTTCTCTCATCTGAAACCAAACCCCTCCTCTAATTATTTCCTTATTTGTATGATTATTTTTTATTATGACTATTTTTTTAATATTTTATTTATTATTGTATTATTTAATTATTTTATTTTGGTTGGGGGGAGGCAATTAGGTTTATTTATTTTTAGAGGAGGTACTGGGGATTGAACCCAAGGCCTCAAGCATGTTAAGCATGTGCTTAACCCTTGAGCTAACCCTCCCCCCATGACTAGTTTTGATAATAGTAATAATAGCTAACATTTATCTGGGGCTTACTGTGCCAAGTGCTTTACATTTGCTGCCTCCTATGATCTTTACAACCACTTGATGATACTATTATTGTTCCCATTTTATAGATGAGGAAACAGAGGCTCAAAAGGTGACTGACCTGGCTCTAGCTCAGACCTAGCCAAAGATTTGAGCCCCAGCTCCCTTATTAACCACTTTGCTCTAAGGCACTGCAAACTCCACGAGGCTAGAGTCTCAGCAAGTTAGCCACTACCCCCCCCCCCCCCCGCTTGGTCAGGTTCCTGGCACACAGCAAGCCCTCAACAGATACTAGGGTGAGTGAATACCTGGTGCTGTGCTAAGTGTCTTAACAAGCATTACTTCATTTAACCCTCACAACCACCCTGGGAGGTAAGTACTACGATTTCCCTCCTATAGACGCAAGTAAGCGGCATCCCCCAAGTCATACACTAAGTGAAAGAGCTAAGCTTAAAACCCATTGTTCTTGTTCCAAGTCTGTTCTCTGAGCGCATTGCTCAGCTGTGAATGAGATCGTGTTTCCAGCAACTTGAAGGAAAGGAAAATGGCGCTCGGTAAATGTTGAATAAATGACAAAAATTAAAAATAAAGAATGATGAGGATGGGAGATGGTAAGCATGGCAAAGATGCTAAAGGGAGCTGAGGTGGTGATCGTAATTTCCTATTTTCTCGTGTTTCCAGGAAGGCTTCCTGGAGGAGGAGTTGATTTGATGGGGGCGGGCGAAAGCACTGCGTTTTGGAAAGTTTCTGCTGGAGGCCATCGCAGACTCTAGAGTTTCTGGATCCATAGGAGGTCGTTAACAAGCCCCTAGGTTGATGGGCGGAGCCGGAGTGCCAGGTCCACGCTGAGGGGGGCTTCTGGTGGTCCTCAGGCCCTGGGTAGTAATCATCCCCTTCTCTCTTCCTTCCTGACCGTGGCGGTGGGCCCGGCCCGGCGCCCCCGCAGCTCTGTGCCTCGTGCTGGGCTGCATGATCTTCCCCGACGGCTGGGACGCGGAGACTATCCGGGACATGTGCGGGGCCAAGACCGGGAAGTACTCCTTGGGGGACTGTTCGGTGCGCTGGGCGTACATCCTGGCCATCATCGGCATCCTCAACGCCCTCATCCTCTCCTTCCTTGCCTTCGTGCTGGGCAACCGGCAAACAGACCTGCTGCAGGAGGAGCTCAAGCAGGAGAACAAAGGCGAGTGCGCGCTTCCGGGTGGGCGGCTGGCGGCGGGGTCGGGGATGCGGGTGTGGGCGGGGCCGGCTCCTCGCGGGGCGGGGCACCTTCAAAGTCACGGCAGTGAAGCACAAACTGGAAACCCTACAGGCAGACTGGGCGCCTTGAAGGCAATTTGGCGTTACATCCCTCAGATCCGAACATTTGCACGCCTGACCCAGCAGACCCTCCCATGAGTATAAACCCAGGAGAAAACAACTAAAAACAACCTTAAATGGCCATTGACAGGAGGATGGTGATACATATTCACATCATAGAATAGTTCACAACTGTGGAAATGAATGAACATCAGTTATACATAACAGAATGAATGCATACATCCTGGAAACATAATATTGAGAGAGAGAGGAAAGAAATTGAATTCCAGAAGAAGACAGAGTGATGTTTTTATTGAGTGCAGAAACTAAGCAACTCTATGCTATGTATAGTTTAAACATATTTGTACAGTTATGATAATGTTGTATATATTTTTTTTAAAGCAAAGAAATGATCAATACAGAAGGTTAGATGGCAGTTCTCTGTGGTTGGGATGGAAGTGGGGCAGCTAGGAGTATGAGGTGGGGGACAGGTAGGTATGTACGAATCCTTGGTGAGTTAAGTTCTTGCATGGTGAGTCCACAGATGTTTGGTACAGTATGCTTTGTATTTGGAATAGTACCTATAAACTTTCATATTAATTACCATTAATTAAACATTTGTATTAATTAGACATTAATATACAATAAAGAAAAAGCTGACACCTAAGACCACAGCCTCAGGGATAACCACTGTTATCAGATGCTTATCCACGTATCTATGTACATGGTACATCCTTTATGAAATACACGGCAGTGTGATGTGCTAATTTAGGAGATGCGCCATCTGAGACAAATCTCTTCTGAGATTACTTTTTGTGCTCAACTCTAGAGCACATCTTAAAGATCTTCCTTTGTCAGTTAATGGAGACCCATTTTGCCCTTTTTATCCAATGCTTAGCATTACATAAGACGAAGGAACTGTAGTTTCTTCTCCACTCCTTGCAGGGGCTGCTCGGGAGGTTTCCAGGTTTTTACTATTACTGGCAGTGCCACAGTGAACATCTTTGTCCATGCCTTCTTATACATGAGTGTTTTCTTGGTGTCTTTCCAGAAGTGGAGTTGCACACTCACAATTGTAATGATAATGCCAGATCGCTCTCTAAAGGAGGGTGGGTCCTCTGACCCAGGGGCCCACAGTGCCCCCGAGAAATGGGAGACACCCCGCCTGTCTGGGTGCACGTTCTCCACTGTGGGAAATCGGATTTCGTTGTTTTCATAGTCTCACTCTTCCTTGTGCTGTTAGCATGTGCTGGGTCTCTGTTTAGTGCCCTTCTTTAATTACATTCATCTCTTGGAGTCTCTTATCTATAAAGTGGGGATAATGGTAGTGAGGGTTATCATCCCACTTGGCAAGAGGTACTCTAGTACTGTGGTGTGAATACCCTCGGACAGTGAAGGCAGATTTTCTGTGTTTGAAGCAGGCTGAGCTAAGAAATGATTTCACGTTCTTGAGCCTCAGTTTCCTGCGCTACCTATAGTGAGAGAGGTGAGAATAGTACCACCTTACAGGGCTGTCCTGCAAGGAAGGGTTGTGCCTGTCAAGGGGCAGGTGGTGAATGCCCAGTGAAAAGTGTCACTCCTCACGTCTCCCCGTCAGGCAGACATCATGACCACCATTTTATACATGAGAAAGCCAAGGTCCGGAGAGGTCCAGTAACTTGCCCAAGGTCCCCTATGTGGTGGAGCCAGGATCTGAGCCCAAGTCCAAGTCCAGGGGCCAAGCTTTTCGCCGCCCTCCTGGGCTGCTGGGCAGCTAAACTGCCCTTCTCTGGGGCTTCCTGTTCCTGGAGACCCTGACACCTGGTGGTTTCTATGGTCTTGGTGTGCGGTCCGGGCCTGCCCTCTGGTGGCAGCTTCCAGAGGTGCAAGACTAAGATAGCCATCCAGCTTTTTTTGAGGGGGCTTGGGGATGTGACTCATGTGAGGTGTGCCCACTCAGAGCCCTCTCCTCCCTCCCTAAAGTGCCCCAACAACTCAATGTGTTAAAAGTGATGTAATGGAGCCCCAGCTTACCTTCCTTCAGCATCTGGGGATCTCCATCCCTCACTGGGAGCTCAAAATGAGTGAGCGTCACGGTTCAGTCTGAGCCCAAGTCCTCTGGAACAAAAGTAAAATATGAATTGCCATCATTTCCTACATATACTATGTGCCACATGCTGTGCAAAGCCCTTGGCTGGCATTATTTCTTTTTGACCCCTCAGAATCGCTCTGTGAAGGACTAGGCTTTTATGTCCATTTTACAGATAATGATATCGGGGCTCAGAGAGGTCGAATGACTGGCGCGAGGCCATCCAGCTCGTCAGGCCTGGCTGCATTTCATGACCTGTGCAGCTCACCCCTCTGCCCAGCTTTGCCCTGAGGAGTGGCTGAAGGAGCCCCAGTGCCTGGTGGCCTCTGAATTTCTCCAATTCTCTCTCTTTCTCTCCCAGATTTTGTGGGCTCTACAGTAAGCTCTGTGTTGCGGCCAGGGGGTGATGTCTCCGGATGGGGAGTCCTCCCCTGTCCCGTCGCTCACTCACAGGGACCCTGAAGGCCGAGATCGCAGCCTGGGAATCGACCAGCCCTCAGCTTGTCCTGTCTCCTGCCCTCTCATCCCTCCATTCAAACTCTGAGGGAAGATCCAGATCTCGGACTGACTTCTCAACTGCTCCCCTTCTGCAAGCTCTGAAGAGGTTGGGACTGGAATGAAGGCTGGGGGAGGGGGGAGGCCCTGCAGAACCTGGGAGGGCCTGGCTCTGCACCTCCCTCAACTGACTTAAGGGAGCCGGCCCCCAGCCCCGGCCACCTCCTCCCCCGCTAGCCTGGCCTGGGGCCCCTCCACAGTCTCCAGGGGAGGGAGGCGCTGTGGTTCTGGTTCCCCAGGCTCCCTCAGTCTAGAGGGCTGCTGCCTCCATCCTCACCTCCCCTGGTCCCTGCCTCCTGCAGAAACTTATCCAAGACACGGCTCCAGGACAGACCCCACTCCAGGACAGTCCGGACTCTTTCCTAACTTTTTTTTTTTTTTTTGCTGATGGTGGTTCCACCACCTCGTCACAGAGCTCCAGGTACCACCAGCCTCCCCGAGGCATCTCTGCTCCTGCTGCAGCCTGCTCCCAGCTCTCCCAAAGGAGTCTGAGGGGCACTGAGGGAGAAGGCCCGGGGCCTCCCGGTCAGCTGCCGACTGGGGCCTGTCCTCCCAGACCCCGGAGGCGGCGGGAGGAGGCACTCTGACTCCTGTCTGGGTGTGGCGCTCGGTTGCTGCAGCTGGGGCTGGAAGCAGCACAGCCTGCGCTGGCTTGGCCTTCCTCCTGCTGAGATGGCTCACCAGTGACTGGACCCTTGACCCCGGCCAGTTTTGTACAGCACAGACTTCTTGGCCCTGTTGTCAGGGTTGGGGAGAGGGGCCCATGAGTGGGGAATTAGGGGATGCATCACCCCTCTGCCCCTCCTCATGCCCCCCCACCTCGGGCATCTGCCAAGGGCAGAGACTCTCTTGCCTCTTTGATACTTTTCTGCATAACTTGAACTTGCAGGTCACCTCTGAACAGGGTACCCCGTCCCCATCCCCAGGCCTTGTAACCTTGTCCCCACTTCTTCTTCCTCCTTGCCCACCTCTCGCCTTGCGATTTGCCCAGGGTCTGCAGCCCGATGGGCATGCTTGGAGCCAAGGCATGAGTGTGTGTGAGCGCGTGTGTGCGAGTGTGTGTGTGTGTGTGTGCGTGTGCGTGTGCGTGGAAGTGTTGGGGGGAGCAGATGAGGAGTCTTCTCCCCTCTCCTCCCACGGTGGGGCAGCTCCTCCCCACCCCCGGCAGGGAGCACAGGAAGGAGACTGCAGGGGTTTCTGACCTCCCCTCACTGCCTAGTGGACCCAGCAGTGGCGCGCCGTCTGGCTTGGGGTGGGACCGCCCCTCCCAGCCCCCAGGTCGGCGGCCAGTTGGCTGCGTTTAGTGTGCCTACTTCCGTCTCCAGGTACAGGCTGCCTGGCCCCTTGGAGAGGGAGCATGAGGCCCCTGCAGGCTCAGTGGGGAAGCGTGTCATCACCAGATCACGCTGCCTCAGCCGAAGGAGGGAGAAGAGTAGCGAGTACCGTGTATTTGCAACCTTGTGTTCATTTCCACAGGACTTGGAACCTGAGAGTTAGGGTTTCCAAGACAGACCCTAGAAATCCTCTGCCTGAGTCCCACATCTGGACCCTAACTGGAATCACATCTGGGTCCTGGTAGGATTCCTGGCCCCCACCCTCTCCACTCCCTCCTCCTGTGCAAACACTTACCCTCTGTGCTCTCTGGCCTCAGCACTGAGCTCCCCTCTTCTGCTCCTGCCAAGTCCCGCTGCGGCCTGCGAGGTGGGGTTGTACACCAGGGTCCCATGCTGCGTGGGAGGATGAGGGGAGCCTCATGGTGGGGAGGCGGTGGGGGCCAGAAGTACGTTCCTCCAAGATCCAAACCAAAGTCCGGTGTTGGAAGGCTGCAGGCTGCAGGGGGAAGGACTAGGAGCAAGTCCTTAGAAATGAGGGGAGAAGACAGAGAAGGGAGAAAGAGCAGGAGGAGCTGTGGGGTAGAAGAGGAGGGTGGGAGATGGAAAGAGGTACAGAAATGAGAAAGAGTGAGCAGAGAGGGGGCTGTGATGGATAGAGAACTTGGGTGGGGGAGGGGGCCAGAGATGGAGGGAGGACTAGGGGTAGGAAAGAGGCAAAGGAAGAGGTGAGTTTTGGGAGGCGGGGTGCAGGGGAGAGAGGATAAAGGAGACAGGACTTGGAGGAGTGGGGAGCAGCTGCTGTGTGCCCACTGTGTAAGGGGACAGCCCATCCCCCCAAGGACACCCATTGCCCAGGGAGGCCACAGACCCCTGTGGCCTGGTGGGAAGGCTAGAACCTACCTCCTCAGAGGCCGAGGCGCCACTTAAGAGGGACTGAGTCTAGGTGTCTGCTAAGCAGGTTAGCACAGCTGGAGTGGGTTAGTGGTAGAGGAGGGTGGGTAGTCCCCGCTGGGGTGGTTGGACAGTGCTTTCCTGTCACCATCCACCCAGCCAGCTGCTGCCCCGGCCGAGGAAGGGGCAGTGGAAGATGCAGCCAGGAGCTTGGGGTTCAGAGAGCAGGATTGGGGCCTGAAGGTAACTTAGGGAAGGGAAAGAGGCTGGAGTGGGGACCAAACCAAAGCCCTGTCCCTGAGGCATCAGCAGAGGTGAGAGCAGAGCGGGAAACAGAAGCTGCAGCCTGGGGCCCCAGGTGAAGCTGAAGTGCCACCAAGTCCATGGCCCAGATGCTCCCCCGGGGGGGCCAGGAAGGGATTGCAGCGAGGATGTTGTGATCTGCCTTCACCCATGGCTGGAGACTTGCTTTAGCCCTCGAGAAGGGACTGAAGCAGAGGAGATGGTCTGTTCCTGACCCCAGCTCGAGCTCTTGGTCCCTGAAAGACACTGAACTCTGAGCGGCCCACGGAGACACCCCTTCCCGGGCTGTGCCTGGGCCAGAGGGCTCCGGCACCACCCGGCCCCCTCTGCCCGGCGTGGGACTTCTAGGATAGGCTGAGGCAGCTCCAAATGTGGGTTCAGAGCACTGCTTGCCAAAGTCCTTCTGGGTCTTGTGGTGTGAGACCTTTCCTCTTTGGGGACCAGTTCCCATGGAGGAAAACACTCTTCCTGAGTGGGCAAGGAACATGGGTAGGACTGGGGTCCTTCTCGGGCTTGGTACAGCCAAGAATTTGAGACAAGGTTTTTAAACAAAGCTGTGGGGAAAAATTCCTTGGCCTTCTTTTGAGGTTCCTGCTTAGGCCCAGGGGAATCACCCTTCTCCAGCTTCCAGCATAAACTGAGAAAGGGAGACTCTCTTTGGAGCAGCTGGGGTCTTCCCAGCATGAGAAACTTCCATGGGCCCCTGCCTGGCTCAGGGCTAGCCTTCGGGTGGGACTGGAGTTTCCTGAGAAGGGAGCAGGGGAACCACAGTCCTTCCCTGAGCTCTGACCAGCAGACCTCAGAGGGCCTGTGCTGTGTGTTGTTAGGATAGCTTGGTGTCGTCTATACTCCATTAGTAAGTTCCGTCTGAATGTGTCCTCACTGTTCATCGTCCAATTTGGTAACATTGATTTTGGTCCTGACCCCTTCTGCTGCTGCTGGATTTGAGCTTCAGTGCAGGTGGAATGACGTTCAAATAAAGAAACACTTTATATCACCCATGCTAGCTTCTCCTTCTCTGAGTCAGCCCCCAGGGGATCAAGGAGGGGTGAGATTCAACTCGACCCCTTGCACCAGGTGTGACTGCACGTTAGCAGAGCTTTGCTACTGTGGCTTAGCAAGATACTTTTTCCCTCCGTCACTCTGAGTCAGACCATGACTGACAGGGCGCACTGCTACTTTCAATCCAGGCTTCCATCCTCAAGGACGCCTCATGGCCCAGGGTGGCTGCTGGGGCTCTAGTCATTTTGGTCCACATTTCATTGGAAGGAGACTTCGGGAGATCCCAAAGGACTGAGTCACATGGCACACAACAATGTAGTCTGTTGACAAAACTGGGGTTGTTTTCCAAGGAGAAAGGAGAGTAGCTGGCACTCTCTTGACAGCTGATTGCACAGGACTGAAAATGAGGTGTCACCCTTTTCTGCCTGTGTGGCCTGGGACAAGTCCCTTCTCTCTAAATCCCCACTGGATAAGTGGGGATGAAGACAGCGATCTCAGGGAAGTTGTAAGGAACAAACGAGGGAATGTGTGTGAATTGCTTCACAGCTCCTGGCACATAGTAACCTGCTCCATATGGCAGTGCTCCATATGGCGGCTACGTTGATTATAATTTTTGCACTTGGGAATTGGGTCTTCATTCACCACATTTTGAGCACATAGTATCTGCTAAACACTTAAAGAACAACAGCAGAGACCCTGTCATAAGAGTCAGTCTGGCTGGGGAGATGAACATTCGTGGGTAGCTCGGGTAGGGACAGCTGACATGGCTTTAGGTGGGGTGAGCAGAGCAGAGGATGGACGGTTTTACTGGAGGGTGGACAGGAGTTAGGCAGGCAGGGGTCAGGAAAGCCATTCGTGGAAAAGAAGGCAGCCTGAGGAAAAAGACGGGTGAGAAACAGGATGGTATGTGCGAAGAAATAAAAGGAATTTAGTAATGCTGAACTGTAAAGCTGAGGTAGGGAGGGTGGGAGAGTAATCTGGAGAGATCAGCAAAGGCCAGATGATGAAAAAGCTCAGAGGCTGCGTACAGCAGTTCAGAGCTAAGAGCAACAGGGAACCATGTGAGGATTTTCAGCAGGAAACGGACACAATTAGACATGCATTTCAGAAAGATTGCTCTAGTTGTAGTGACGGGGGACTGAAGTAGAGACAGACGATTGTAATTAAAGGGAAAGCTGAAGTCTGGCCTGAAGCATGGTGGTGGCAATGGTTTTTTTTTTTTTCAATTTTCTTTCTTTTTTCCTTAGTATAGTCAGTTTACAATGTTGTATCAATTTCTGGTGCACTGCATAATAGTTCAGTCATACATATACATACATGTATCCATTTTCATATTCTTTTTCATTATAGGTTACTACTAAGGAATTTTTGATTCAATGAAGAGAAGTTAAAAGCTTTGGAATTTTGTTAATTAAAACTCCTCTCTGGCCACCAGTTGTGTCTCTTAATGGATTAAGATCAAATGGTGCAAGGCTTTCAACTTCTATCTTGGATAGAAAAGCTGGGGAAAAAAGTGTCACATCTATTTTAGCAATAAGAACAGCAGATGGGAGGGCAGGCACAGAGAAGGTAGACTGCAGACTGAAAAGTAGGTGCAAGATGAGCCAAGTGTCCAGACGGTGTTTCAGAGACGCACCGTCAGATCTAGGCTGAGCATGGACAATGGAGAGGGGCACGCTGCAGTGGGGCACGCTGATGGAGAAAATGGAGAAACTAAAACACTAAAGTTTACATGAAAGAGCTGCACGGTTAGGAGACTAGTCAGAAAGCAGAGTGACCTCAATATTCGGAGTAATTCTTGAAAAGGACTTTGAGGTGCACTGGTTAGGATGTGCACCCAAATGGTGAGGATAACGGCAGAAACTGGGGGTGAAGAAGACAAGCCAAAGTTGCCCAAGAACCAAAGAATCAGAGAGAGGCTGGAAGGTAAGATGACAGTAATGAAGAGGGTTGAAAGCTCAACCAAATGTGTGAGCATCGGGGAGCAGGGATTTCTTATCCGAGGGGCAAGATGTAGTTTGTCTGGAAACGTGTGGGGAGAGCCTCCCAGCAACAGGATGTCAGAGGAGCAGCCTCCACGTGGAGGCTTGCAGAGGTGGGTCCCAAGGAGAGAACCACATTCAGTAAAGGCCAAAGGACGAGATGGAGGAGGTAGGGGTTTGTTTAGCAAAGAAAAGGGGTGTCCAGAGAGCACTGCAGAAGAGTGGGGAGAGAAGGACAGAAGGACAGAGAAAGACAGAAGGATAGCACGTCATAAAATTAGAGAGCACTGGGAAGCCAGCTTTTGGGAGGTGACTAAGGAGCATGCAGTTGGTAGAATTTGCCAGATGCCAAGTTTCACACAGAGCTCTAGTCTGAAACCCCTTTCAAGTCCACGGAGGCAGAGCAGGACTGAGGCCCTGGGCTCAAATGATCTTAGGCCACTTAGTAGCAGGGCTGTTTGCCTGTTTATTGTGGGTATGTAAAATGGTTTTTTTTTAACTTTTAATTTTATTTATTTATTTGTGTGTGTGTGTGTGTCCGGGGTTGGGGTGGGGAGGAGATTAAGGTTTTTTAATTTGTTTTTAGTTTTAGAGGCGGTACTGGGGATTGAGCCCAGGACCTCGTGCATGCTAAGCATACACTCTACCCCTTGGGCTGTACCCTCCCCCTAGATTTTGTTCTTTCTTTTGTTAGACACGTTGCAGCATAAAACAAATGTACAGGCAGAGAACTGTCATACTTACCCTTCTAACTGTTACCAAAGAACCTGGCTAGCCACCCTAGAAGCCTTTCAAGTGCTCCAAACACTGGCCCTGTACTTCCCTAAGAGTAACCATGGCCTGGATTTTTATTGTAACCACTTCCTAACTTTTACTTACAATTTTTTCACCCAAGTGAGCATCTTTAAATAAAATAGTTTAGTTTAGACTTTTTTTTTTGATGTCTTTCCCCACTTTCTGTTTATCCCTCCTAGCAGTTTGTTGAAGAAACTGGACCATTTGTTTTATATACAGTGTTCCACAGGTGGGATTTCGCTGGCTTCCTTCTTGTGGTGTAGTTGAACAAGTTCCTCTGTTCTCTGTATTTCCAGCAAACTGGTAATTGGATCTAGATGCTTATTTACATTCAAGCGTGTGTTTGCACATTTTAATGACTGCTTCATAGTTTATTTTTTAATCAAGAGATACATAGTATCTAACTGCTTTTATGTGATTAGGGGTTGAAAAATAGTGACGCTCCAATTCTATCATTCTCTCTTATTTGTGGGAACATTTCTGTAAGGGGAACATCTTCATTTTCAATCTAGCCAGCCAGCAGTACAAGTTGTATAGGAAAGGCAAGAACAATGCTGGAATCTTTCCCTTTATTTGCCAGTTTTCAAAAGTGGAGTTGATTCTCTAACATTCTCCCAAGATGAACAATTATGTTTTGGTTATTATTATGAACTCATGGATTTAAATGTATTTGATTCTGGTACATTTATAATTGATGCTTAAAATGGCCCATCGTTGGTCAGTAGAAGCTTCTTTAAGTTGGTGTTGAGTCTTTTAAAACTAACCCTAATTATCTTGGTAGTATCCTTGCTCTCTGGTATGACGAGATGTTCCAGACTGACCTTGTACATTTCCTCCCTCAGTCCAAAATCTGCCATTTCTCTAAGAAGCCCTATTTCTGAGCCTTTCCAGTTGACAGAGCTAAGACATGGACACATAAAACTTACCTATACATATATAGTTATGGGATCTATCTGTCTCAGCTATTTATGATAAAATACCTCATGAGTTAATACTGACACAAGGAAGTTTTTGGCTTAACATCCTCTGTCTTAACATCTGTAACTCCTTTCCCCCCCACACCGAGAATCTTGGTTCTCAAGGACATTGGACTCATTTGCTTTATCTCACATTAAAGCCCTCAGATATAAAACCACCAGTATAATTACTAAAAACATATTTCCTGCTTATTTTTTTGTAGTTGCACGGTATTTATATTGCCTGCGTCACATACACCAGCTGACACTACACTCTCTCATTCCCCACTCATAGTTCTGCACGTAGCTAACTGCGTATGAGTAACTCACTACCAGACTTTCTGTTGTTTCTTCAGACAGTGTGGTTGTCTCAATCAGCTCAGGTTTTAACAGGCTCCTAAGAGTTAACGGGAATAGTCCCCCAGGTTCTTGCATGCAGGTGGCAGTTTGCTGCTATTATATAGCTGGTATGGAACTCTTGGTTCACAGTCTCTGAATATTTTAAATGTATCATTCCATTGTCTTTTCATGAACTGTTGCTGTCAAAAAACCTGATACAGATACATTTTCTTTCCATTGTAAGTATCTTTTTTGGGGGGCCTGGATATTCAAGTTTTTTTTTCTTTTCTTTAAACTCCAACAATTTAATCAGAATGTCTTGATACTGGTCATTCTGGGTTGAATTTACAAGGTATGCAGTATGTTCCTTCAATGTGTAGTTTGAAATATTTCAGGAAGTTTTCTTAAATTAGAACTTTTGGTATTTCTTCTGTTCCCTTTTTAGAACAGTTTTAGGTTCGCAGCACAATTGAGCAGAAGGTATATAGAGATTTCCCTTATTCCTCGTGGCCCACACATGCACAGGCTCCATTATCCACAATCCCTACCAAATGGTACATTTGTTACATTTGACGGACCTACACTAACACATTTTCACCCAAAGTGCATAGCTTATATTGGGGTTCATTCCTTGTGTCCACTCTGTGGGTTCAGACAATGTATAATTACATGTATCTACCGTACAGAACCACAAAATAGTTTGACCACCCTAAAACACTTGTGTTCTGCCCATTCATTCCTCCCTCTCCTCAGCCCCTGATCTTTTCACCATCTCTACAGTTTTGTATCATCTAGTGTCATGTAACTGGAATCGTATGTAGCCTTTCCAGTATGGCTTCTTTCTTTACTAGTAAGATGCATTAAAGGTTTCTACATGTTTTACGGCTTGATAGCTCATTTCACTTTAGTGCTGAATAATACTTCACT